GCATTAAAGCAAAAGCTATTACTATTTTCTCTAGAACTGACCTTGATTTCTGTGGTGAGGGCATGTTCTGATCATCTCCTATTCACCACATTGGTGACCTAGGGGTGCCTCTTACTCTAGATACTATGAGATTATGGAAAACACGCATCCTTTTTTTTTTTTTTTGAGACAGAGTCTACACATAAGACTGACAATAGTTTATTAGTCACATACACTCACATTCTGGGAAAGGAAAATACCCGGATATGTGTAGGGTCACCTGGGGTTGCACTCAGGCATACAGCAAACAAGCAGGGTCTGTGGGGGGCAGGCTTTGTAGTAACAAAGGGGTCCGGTGACAGGCTGGTTCCTGTAGGCTGGATGTGATTGGCTGGTTCCTGTAGGCTGGATGTGATTGGTTGGTTTGAATAATGTTGAGCGCTAGCAGGGAAGTGAAACCTCTCAGGTTGAGGGCTGGGTGGAGTGCAGCTGGTCTGACTAATAGCGGAACTAGCCAGGTGGGGAGCTCTTCCAGCTGGGTGAGGAGCCTATCTAATGAAAACAGGGAAACACGTGGTTAGACCTTTGGGGCCTGTGAGGCTCAAAGGCATCAAGGCAGCAAATGAAATTTTGAGCCTTACAATGTACGGCATTAAGGAGAAGAGAAATAAACTGTATTTCTTTTTCATATTAGCAAATTTGTGTAGTTTATAGTGTTATAGCATGTGTGCATCACCATATATGTTTTTCAATCCACTTTCAAAAGCTTTAAATGTAGTGTAAATTGCTCTAAGAATCTCACAGTAGGTTGAATGCCAGTCTCAAGACCGGAGTAGAAATGTCGTTAGGTATTTTAGAAAGAATTTGGGGTAAGTGATTTCAAAGACTGAAATCCAGACATTTTAAAACTGTTGAGAAGATGTTAAAGAAAGGCATAAAAGTGGTAGTTGCATTAAATACCAAGAGGTGGACTACAGCTGTACATTTGATATAACAGCAGGAAGATGAGGGTTCTGCTGAGTGATGTTTCACTTGACCTCTCTGTTCCTTCACTCCTTAATATATAAAATAAAGAATGAGTCTAGACGATTCTACAATTCTTTGTCTCTAAAATGGCTGTGATAATTTCAGATAAATATAAACACTTTACTTACTGTCTACAAGGCCTAATGCTCCAGGATAATTACCCTACTAATTTATGAATCCCTTTTCTTAAGCAACATGGAATGCACATTTCCTGGTACACAAAAAAATTCTAAAAAATGACTTTCAAATGAACAAATACATGTAGCTAAGTAAGAGATATTTGGGGAAATTCTGAACAATGCTAAATATTTTGAGTCCTTCACTATTTCAGCAGTTGAACACTATTACTAACTAGCTGGTTATATTATGAAAGTAGTAACTAGGGTGCACTGTGGGCATTGCGAATGGCAGTGAGTGAATGACTCATCAGACTCTATGTGGCACACTGTTTCTCATGCTCCTGTTCAGCTATCCTGTGATCTGGAGAAGTTTAGTTAGTCTCATTCTGGACCTCAAGTCTTCACTATGTCTCCTTTGCAAGGATGCTCCTGATTTCAATCAGCTACTGGAAATGTCAGATGAAAAATGGCACAAATGTGAATTATGACAATAAAAGTTTATAAGCTACTAAAATAAAGTTATAGTACCTAAGAGCTGAGTCAACTGACAATGTTAAATGGAACATTTTACAACCAGTCCTGGGATAATGATAAAAAAAAAAAAAAGGCACACAGAACATGAAGAAATATCTGACAGGAGACAGACCAAGATGAAGCTCAGGCTGCATGACGGTGTGTGAGCTACCTGGAAAGGGGGCAGGAGGAGGTGATAATCTGAGGTTTGTGGAGTGCCTCCTCTGTGTCCGGCCCTTGACAACCATTATCTCTTTAACTTCTCATTACAACTCAGTAAGGGAGATTCTGTTATCATCATTTCATAGAAGAGAAACTGAGGCTTAAGTGGTCCAGTTATTTGCCCAACGACTATACTGTTAAGGCAAGATTTAACTTTAAAAGTCTACCTGACTCCAAAGCCCATGATCTTTCTATATATTTTTATACCCAGTTCTGTCTCTTCACATACATAGATAATCTCCATATAAATAAAGCAAATTTTAGGTATCCTGAAGAATCTTTCTGTCTGACTTGATACAAGTGTTTGTCCCATGCTATCAATTCAGGCGATGCTTCTCTTTACCATGTAAATTAGCTACACAGAGAATGTTACATCATATCTAAATATGGCAAAAATATGGGACTAGAATGAAGATGAGCGTTAGAAAGTCACGTGCTAAAAATGATATTTAAGAATGAATACAGGAGCATTCTAGAAAGTTTGAATATGTGATATGGGAATGTTTGGTTTGGGGTTTTCTTTTCTTTTCTTTTTTTTTTTAAAGATAATCCCACTCACAAAATGTTTTGTCCATATCCACAGATTTATATTATCTTTCTCTAACTTTTCTAGTACAAATGTCTTTCTCTCCTGTCACCCCAAACTCCCAAATACCACGTCACAGTACTTCTCATTTCTGTTTTCCACAGCTTCCCCAGTGACGAGAATGCTCTGGTGTGCCCAGGGGGATCTAGTGGTATCTCCCCAAAGGCTGGCATTTGCCATAATGACACAATTTCTTTAAAATATTATGTTTTACCTTCAAAGATCTTAGGAAATTTATATTCTTCTTCCTCATCTGATTCTCTTATAATATAAAGATAGTCTTTTCATTACTTATTATGGACCAGAATTCATGCTCCAAGAATTAATGTCATGTTAATTCTGAGGCTTCACATACTCTGTGCAAACTCCTCTTATACTAGCCAGAGAAACACGGTGATATAAAGGTATAATCACATGACATGCAAAGTGCTGATGTGAAATGAAAAGGTCGGAAATACGATTGGGACATTAATTCAAGAGGGGAAAAAACAGCACTGTTTGGATAGGCTTAGAAGGATGGTTTAGTTCTTCCTGAAAATACGTAGGATATTATTACACCTTATCTTGACCTCCACCTCAACTCTCCCCATTCAAGTACAATCAAATGTTTAGTTCCTGTGTGCACCCATACACGGGCACACACACACATGCACACACACAAAAGCACACGTATACACATCAAAAAGGCTACACAATATCCAATAGGCAGACTTATAGAGAAACATTTAGCGAACTTCATTTACTCATCTGAACACCAGATAAAGGCATCATGTCACTGTAGCAATAAAACCATAAATTTTCATTATAATAGAATCCAAATGAAATGGTAAAGTGAAACTTATGAAATAGGTATGGTAATGCTTATTTATACCTATCATAATACCTATTTTGGTATTATTTTGCCAAATAATCCCCATTTGTCAGGCACTGATCTAAATACTAAAAATATAAGGATAAATAAGACACACACAGCTCCTGCAAATTAATAGCATAATCAGGATTACCTTTACAACCCAGTTCTTTTGACAAAATAATACCTATTTTGTGAGTTGCACTTCACCATTTTATTTATTTGTCCTGTAATTTATTTAGGCTAGCTTTCAGACATAGGTCCCAGAATATAATAGACACAGCTAATTTTCATTGTTGATCCATAGTAATAGTCACTGAGTAGGTAAAAGACAGAAGACAAACAGCTTTAAATGCGAAGTGGCACAATTAATCACAATTGTCATACTTATGCACTTGCTGACTGTGATCAGAATATTTCAGTTAAATCCCATTTAAAAGTATGCATTGTCAAGGGAGAGGCCAAGAACCACTTTCTACTGCAGGAAGCAACCCTACAACCCGTGTGCCAAAGATGGTACTGAAGCCCAGTCCTACTGGGTCATAGACTGATTGCTCTGGTCCCACACCCTCTTCACCTCCCGCTGTAGGAGCTGTTCCTATAAAAACGCAAGAAAATGATGAAACCTTGGCATTTGTGTGTTCAAAGATGATCGTTTCCTGTTCTCATAATGCATAACATTAAAAAAATTCAGCCCATTCAGAGAGACAGTTAAATTCTCTCTGTTAAGTTAGATTTTTCCCTTTGAAGCATTCTGTAATGCTATGTAAATACATTTGGTAATAACAGCTCTCCCTTGCTGTTTTTAATGTATTGCCTAAAAATAAGTATCACATATATAATATGTATAATATAATGCATTTTATTGTATACATTAAACAATACCCCAAAATTTACTGAAGAAATAAAAAGTATGTGTGTGGATAGAGACAGAGACAGAGACAGAGACGGAGACAGAGAGAGAGAGAGAGAGAGTTATAGCACAGATCCAAAGCAAAAGTCAAAACTTAGAAGCAAATTAATTACCTTGAATCTTGAATAGTTTCATATATTCCCAGTATGACATCATAAGGAAGTAGAGATCCTTTATTTGGTGGTATTAAATTGAAGAATTTACTTATTAGGTGAAAAGAAAATCTCCATGTTAACCAGAGATTGCAAGTAATTTGACCAATAAGGTCTGTGATATTATCATAAGGTAGCCCTGGATTTATCAAAGTTGTGAAAATAATTTAACATCTATCACCTACATACATTATCTCACTATCCTTACAATTAGCAAATGAAACAGACTATCTGGTCATAGAAAATAGTTTTCATTCATTCACTATATATTTGTCAAATAATCCCTACATGCCAGGCACTGTTCTAAATACTAGAAATGTAAGGAGAAATAAGATACACACATGGCTCCTGCAAGTTAATGGAATAGTCAGGATTACCTTTACGAACCAGTTCTTCTGACACCTACATTGTGTGATGCAAATTAAGAGTGTTTTGTGACCTTCAAAATATTTGGGGTGCTTTGCTTATTTTACTATTAATTACAGAATTAAATAAATTTTGACAATCAAGTTTCATATGAACGTTTTTGCTTTGTGGATATTACTGAAGCGAATAAAGCTCTATGAATTGTGGAATGATAAAATATTCACAGAAACTTACAACTCTGCAGTTGAATAACAATTACATTTGTTCCGAACAGGCAATTGGTTTCCAAACACATTAAACAAAGGCAATTTAGAAAGCTTCTTCTTCTTCCTGGCATCATTAACATTGTTGAACGTCCTGGGATTCTGGAGTGTTTCACAAAGGTAAGTAAGTGTGTGGTAAGATGAAAAATTTCTGAGTCCATGAAATATTGGTCTGGGAACCATCACTGAGCCAGCGGGAACTCTGTACACCATGACCGGACAAATTAGCATATGAGAGAAATTCAACAGATTATTCAGAGCAAGAAATTTCAATTTAGACTTCACTTTTTCCATCGATCCTCATAATAAAATAGTGCTTTACAAATTCTAAAATACGTTCCAACACAAGATTTTTCTCTCCACTATGTAGCATCACTTTAGAATTAGAAATAAGCATATTGATGATAAGAACGAGTGCATCATTACCATTAAAAGCAAATATCATTAAACAAATAGCTAGAAATCTAATGATGCTTGAGATTTGGATCCTATTCAGGTCTTTAAATCAGCAGTGACCATTTCAAGGCCAATAAAAAAACTGTACAAAATCCCTTAGCTTGTTGCCTGAGACCACCTGAGAGTGGCTTAATAGGTACCATCTACCATCCATCCACCCATCCATTGCCAGCCTCTCTCTCTCTCTCTCTCTCTCTCTCCCCCCTTGACATATTCTTGGACAACTGTGTACTTTTGAGAAAATTCTCTAACCTCTCTGGGCCTCTGTTTTTACACCTGTAAAATAAAAACCTCTTGTCGGTTTTAGGGGGACGAATATTAATAAAGGACTAATAACAATGTCTGTCATGAAGCAGAAACTAAACAGATTTTCATTTTCCTTACTTCCTTCCATCCATTTATCTCTTTAGTCATTTAGTCATATATTATCTCATTCATTGTCACTTCACCCTTGCCTAGGTCATTATTTTATTAACCTAACAAATCTCTTTTTGAATATCAGCCATGTGATAGGTGGTGTCATAAACTAGAAAGATACAAAGTCAGTAAGTCAATAAAGGTTTATTTTCACCAATGTTCTGCTCTTATCAGGCTTATGGTCTGGTATAAGAAAGAATCAAACCTCATGCAAGGCAGAACTGATGACAAAATTAAAAGCCTTAATGGCTCCCTGAATTTTTATATTTCTTACACTCCAAAGTGTATAAAATATCAAACTGGTCCTTCACAGTGTATACTTTTCCTGAATGCTGATCTCATTCTTAGATTGAAAATCAAATTAGAGAACCAGAAAGTTTTGCAGAAAGGTCCAACAGGAATGTTCTTAGCATTATAGCAAAACAGATTTCACAATGGAAATGGAAACTGGAGGCATGGCCTCTTTCCCCTCCATCCACTGCCTCCAGACACGTAAGTGGTGCCCACTCAGCAATTTTCAAAAACCTGCACCGTCTCTCAATTTTTACTTTGTATCCTGTAGTAAGGTTTGATCCTTGTCTTTCATGAAGTAATTTAGTTACCCCAGTTGAGTCCAGTTTCACAATTTATATGCTATACAAACTTCAGCAAGCTGTTTAACCTTGCTAAACCTCAGTTACTTCATTTGAAAAATGGAAATGATAAAAATACTAACTGTGTCATAAGGCTTTTGTGAGGATGAGTAAATGCTCCAAAGTGTTAGCAATTATAATTAGAATGGTCTCATACCTAGCCATATGCTGTCTTCTTCCTCCTTTTTATGCTTCTCCTACACTTTTGAGGTGTGGCCAAGATGACCGCAGTCATGGACAGAGTGTAGGTAGAACTAGCACTGGACCCAGAATCCATTAGCCCAGGGATTGACTCATTAATATATCCACCCAACCAACATGCTAAGCATTGTTCCAGGCAATAGAGAAATAGAGTTGAATAGGCAAACTCGTAGTCTACATGGAGCTAACATCTAGGGCCCAAATTAAAATATTAAAGTGTGATTCTTTCTCTCTGATTGTGGAACTAGTGAGTTCCTGTAAAGAAGCGAGAAATAGTGGTGTGGAGTGCAGAGGAGGAGGTAAGAATAAAAACATACAACACACCAGAGATTGGAGGAACCAAAGATGAGAAGGGACTAAGTACAAATGTAAAGTTCATTCAGAGATAAATCTGATTCTTACCAAATCTTCTCCATCACCTATCTACTTTCTCTTCTCCTGCATACTTTTTGAGGGAGGGAATAAAGATAGAGAGAGAGGAACAAACAAAGCAAGAAGGAAAGAAATTAATTTTCTATGTGTTGAGCAGCCTGTGTATCTTGGGTGGCATGCTATACACACACAAACAACTGCCCTTACTCCCCACCATCTTCTTGGCATATAGATCTTATCATTCTACGTTATAAATAAAAAAAACTAAAGTGCAAAGCCCGTTAAATAAATTGACCAAGTTCACACAACTAGGATTCAACTCCAAATTTGTCTCTAAAGCCCACGCTTCTATACTCCTGTACTATGCTGCCTCCAAGTGCCACAGAAGAGCCGTCTTCTTGGTCTCTGACAATTCCTAACTCGGTTTGGGAGAAAACTATTTCCTTCAGTTAAAGTAACTCTACCCACTACTACCTGTTGACCAGCACCCCACAGGAAAAGAATGAACGTCACATGTCAGAAGTAAGGAGAGTCTGGAACATTTGCCTCCAGAGATTAAGCAGCTAGAACCAATGACATCAACGCCAAGACACATGTTGCCTTGGGAACCTATTGGCCTTTGGGATTGGACAGTCCAAGTCAGAAGAATTAAGCAAGACACAGTATGAAACCTGAGAGAGAAAGACCAGTGCCTGCAGTGAGGAGTGCATGATTCCGATTTTTTTCTATACTGATTGTTTTTGTCAAACACTAATGAACAATAAGCATGCAAATAAATGGGGGAAAGTACCAATGTCCCAGGGACAGCATTATTGAAACATATTACGTATAAGTCAAATCATATCTAATCTCAGCACATATGTAAACACAATCCCATTTTTAATCAAACCCAAAGGTGTATCTGTTCAGAGCCAGGTAATAGTGGAAATCTATCAAGAACAAGGCAGTCTCAACTTATTCTTGTCCTCAAGATCTTGAGGACAGTGGATTAATTATGAAACAACCTCCTCACCAAAATACAGGTAGGATGAGGTCTGTTTTAGCACCCTAGACACCTCCACAGCCAAGTTCATCATATTAGTCTGATACAATCTTATTGTTAAGTCCTAGAGCCAAACCAATCTTGTGAGGGTTACTGGGACATTATCTCAAATCCCCAGCTGCATAAAGCTAGGAATTATCCATAAATATAAGGCCAGATTTACCTGTCACATGTACCAAATCAAAGAAACTGAAAACAATCCCTCCACAATCAAATTTGAAATACTGCACTGATGACATGTCATACTCGAGGCTTTCAAGTTTAGGGGTGAAGGAAGTAGGTAAATGCAAGTAAATATGTCTACAGTGCTTTATATAAATATGTATCCTATCCCACACTGGGTGCCAAAATAAAAAGAAATTTCAGGTGTTTTGAGAGGGAGGGGGCAGAGAGTGCTTTTATAACTAACACCACTGTCCTTCCAGTGTTGTGAAACATAGAAGTTGATATTGCACTTGTTTTGTCAAATATTCCAGTAATCTTTTGTGTCTATGCTGTAGGAATTATTGAAAGTGACATAAATCAGAGACAAATGACCAGAGTTGTTCAGGCAGTATTCATTCTCTTACAGCTACAGTTATTTTTAGTAATGTATTGAAAAGGAAAAGAAGGTAAAATTAACTTTTGAAACCTTCACAAATCAAAAATAGATGACTGACCCCATCTATATTTGAAACTTATGTGTATGTGATAAAATTAAACTTATAGCCGATATTCATTTGTTCATTTGACAAATATTTATTGAACATCTACTGTGTATCAATCACTGGGAATAAAGCAGTGAATAAAGCAATTTGAAGTTCCTATTTTCCTGGAACTTACCCAAAAGTGTTTAAGAAAGTAATTTGTCTTTAGAGGCAGTATGCCATAGAGGACCAGGATTCAGAACAATCAAGTTGTGGCTCCAAATCCAAACTCTGCCAACTACTACTGCTATGAACCTCAAGTGAGTTATTTAACCTCTTGGAAACTTCAATTTCTCAATCTGCGAAATGGGATGATTCTATCCCACCCTTGCATGGGACTGGTACTTAGAAGACACTGGAAAGGCAGGTTTTTCTGGAGATCGGGGATGGAGAGTGCACATTCTAGAAATACATTCATGGATTCTTCTTTGACAATGGTGCTTTACACATAATCTCAGCACTGAATTTACAAATCCCCAGTAAACCTCTTACGCAGCCTGACCGCCATGAAATCTGTCAAGTCAATAGGCTTTCAGCCTTCTCACCATCTCTCTGTCAGCATTGAAGACAGCACAGCAAGTTGTAAAAAAAGCGCCACCTAAAGGTCCTTATGAGACACTTTACTAAGTCACAAAACTCCTTTTGTACTTTTAAAAAGACTGTTTTGGTGAGCAGCGCTCTTAAATAATCGTCACTGTTGTGCCAGTATCTATGAGCCCATCATAAAAGGTAGACAAGCACAGGAGGGAAGCAAGTGATTTATCAATTCATCTACATCTGGTCCTAAGAAAAGCTTTCTTTTTTTCTTTTTTAGATATTGTAATCTAAATCATTTTAATGCCCAGAACATCCGTGGAAGTAATCTTGACGAAACACTTCTCCTCCACGAAAAGTCTCTGAAATTTTATGGCAGTATACAGGAATTTTCTTCAAGTATTGATCTTTGGGAGACAGCCCTATGAAACTGTATTTGAGTCTACCTGTCTTATAAGAACAGTATTCATTGTTTTCTTCTTCAGTTGAGCATTTTATGTGTTTTAGTGTAAGAGCCATATATATGGAGGTGATTTTATAAATATCATCTGTATACTTTATTTACAAAAACTAATTATGACCTTTCTAGTAAACTGTCATGCTTTTGCATTAACAAGCTATAGCATTAAAATTAATAAAATAATTTCAAAGCCTAGGTGATTACTCTATGACCAAAAAAATGGCAGTTTTCTATATACCGATACCTTACCACTTTCTACAATGGTTCAGCCATTGAAAGCATATGACCTTTTTTTGGAGTTTTAATGAGTCATTAGAAGCAAAATGGCAGTATTTTAATATACTCTCTTTCAATATACTTATTGAGCCCCTATTACATGCCAAGCATTGTGACCATATACTATATATAGCTGAGTAAATAATAAACATATACATGATTTTCTATATTTGCTCTTAATATTATGCTATCAAGATACGACTTCATTAAGGAAATTTTCTCTGAATTTAAAAGCAGTATTACTAAAATAGATGTCCTTAACAAAGAGAATGTCCACATACTAAAAAAGTTGAAAAATAAATGTAAGTTATGGAACAGTTGGAATTAAAGGAAAGAAGGAAACTCAGGAAGATAAAATGAGGGCTGAGAGGAGGGTAAGTGACCAAACCAAATAGAGATGCTTAAAGGAATTATACGAATAACATCTTTTGGTCTCCACTGCCAATTCAGATGCATTCAGAAAATTATCTTCTAAGAGTTTCTTCTTTTATAAGCAAAAATATGTGGAAACTCATCTTTTAAGAAATCAAGTAAAATTAATGTCTGTTTCTTAGTAGCAGTATTTGTCAAAATCTGGTTGAGGACAATTTGCTACAGGTGAATCTTTCTGGCCCCTACACAGACTGCCTTAACCCAAATCTTTTTTTCAGATTGGGGTCCAGGAATTGGTGGTTTTAATAAGCACACCCAAATCATTCTCATGTTCCCTAAAGTTTAAAAGCCATTGCTTTCCAGGACAATTCGTGCTGGATAGGACAAGTGAGTGTATCAGGTGACCGCAAATTATTCTGCAATTATGCACCTCGCTTGTGTATACATAAAATATTTTAGGTCTGTAGAATAAAAGACTTATTCAACTTGATTAGGTACGCTATGCATTTTTAATTGCAAAAGAGCTGTAAAGCACCAGGTGTTTCTGTTACTCAAACTATTTTTTGTTTGAGGACAACTGAAAAGACTTGCTGGTACAGGCATAAATTCTTTTCCTGCAACTTTTTCAAATCCTTTCTGTTTAGCAATTGTTTCCTAGCAAAACAGTGAGGCAGACCCCTGATATTCCTTAGAAGCTTTCCTTGCTGCAAAAGGTTAAATGCCAAGTTTGCAATTTGGGTTTAATGAACACCCAAAAGAGCCAGAAGTCTTTAAATACTTCACCTCAGTACAAATGGGAAGCTCTAGTCTCTCTTACTGTTAGAAAAGGGGCCTGCTTTATTTTGTTCTCCCCCTCCCCACAAATTTGCCTTCATCTCCTTAATTTCTACATCATAATAGAAAAAGACGCTCATTATGCTTTCACTTGTCCTTAGAGCTGAAAGATCTACAGAATTATAAAGTTGACCCAAAGCAAACACCGAAAGAGCTTAGAATCCTCACGTTGGCGTTGACACTCGTGATTAGCTAAATTGCAGTAACTACACAGGCTTCCATTCGGAACAGGATGCATTCACACAGCAGTTTCTTCTCTACTGCCTAGCAACATTATCATTGAGCACCTGGAATAGTTTAGGCATTAAGTGTAATTGGTTTTGCTTTACATAAATCTGTAGCTTTGTAAATAAGCGGAGCATTTCAGCTTCTATATAACACCAATTAACTTAAAGGGATGCGTTGTTTGCAGAAGCCTGCTGGGTTTCGTACTGTATTTCTCCAGTAATATGCTCAGTGGCGGGCGAAGTTCTGTGTCCCTGCAGTGTTCCATTTACTCCAGCCACTTGGTGCCAAGGGTCTGTACCCAGCCACTCATTTGCTCCATTTTTCATGTGCGGCAAAAGGTTGGAAAAGTGAAGACTTCCCTAAGAAGCACCTTCTGTGCTCTATTTCTGTCCATGATCAAGGCCTGAAATGCAAGGTATTTGAAAATGTTTTCTGTGACCCGCAGAGCACAGGTCTGACCCCATCTGATTCTGTTCACAACTGACAGTAACATCTCTTTTCTCTTCCTTTTTCTCTTGTAACACTTCAATCCACTGTAGCCAAAAGTCACTACATTGACCCTGTATACAAAATTAAGAAAACCATACTCTTATTACATAAATGTATAAGTGAAAATGGTTTTCATCAGAGTGATTTCATCATTTCTTTAATAGCACAAAATAACATGCAGAGATCTGCTCCTGAAAGTAGGTAAATGTTCCCAAGCTCCGTGGGTATTTCTCCTTATTTCCTCTTTATTCAGTTTAATCCCTTATCTCTCATACATATCCCCTTCAGGCAATCTTGATTTATAGCATTCATTCCACCCTAACCAACCTTTAATTCTCTTGGTTTCTGAAAGTGTTTTATCAACTATCTGAGTAACAATATCACCAAATAACAGCTCATAATTCCAAAAAGTTTTCTATTATAATATTGCACGATTTACAAATTGAAGGAGAAAAAATAATCCCTTCTGAAAACTGTCAGGATCCCTTGTTTTATGAAAACAAAGCTTCCACACCGGTACTCTGAGCCAGTCGGGTGATAGGCATCTACCATCTACCATTCTCTCACTATAAGAGAAGCCAGCGTACAATTATTGGTCCCAGACTTATAAGTAAAGCCCTCAAATAAAATCAGCAGCCAAGTGATGACAGCACACAGGTGCTGCTGGAATTCAGGTCTGCTTGTAGAGAGCAGGGAAATTAAAAGAACCACTAATAGTAACAACTCACATCTATATCACCTTTTACAGTTTACAAGTTGCTCTCACACATATTATCACATTTGATTAGCACCACCACTCTGGGAGGTAGGCATACTTTAGCATGTCCATTTTGTAAATGAGAAATTGCAACTCTTGACACCTTAAGTGATTTATCAAGAGTCACAGAGATAGTAGGTGGCACAGACAGGACTTGAACCTTGGTCTGTCTGTCGCTAAAGTGCAACAATACTCATAATGTCACCAACAACGGATCATTCCCCAGCCACTTAGGTGAAACACTCTCTACATCATTCAAAAGGGAACAAGAATGGGAGGAAAGATTATGTCAAGGTTATAGACTCTGACAAAACGGGTAACAAAAAGCAAACATGTTTTTAGCATCTCTTCTCCCTCACTCAGCTCTCCCTGTGGAGCCATACAGTGTCCCAACATGGACCTCAGGATGTCAGAAACGGTCCCTGAAAAGACCTACCCAGACTGAACACCATGGCAGGGGAGGGGTTCTCAATGTCAAAACCATCCTTTATTTCTCTTTTCATCAAACTGACTTGGCTGTGCTACAGTCAATTGCAAACTGCCTTAGAAAAGGCAATTTGAGGGCCAGATACGGTGGCTCATGCCTGTAATCCCAGCACTTTGGGAGGTTGAGGTGGGCGGATCATGAAGTCAGGAGTTCAAGACCAGCCTGGCCAATATGGTAAAACGCCGTCTCTACTAAAAACACAAAACTTAGCCGGGCGTGGTGGTGCACGCCTGTAGTACCAACTACTCTGGAGGCTGAGGCAAGAGAATCACTTGAACCTGGAAGGCAGAGGTTGCAGTGAGCCAAGATCGTGTCACTGCACTCCAGCCTGGGAGACATAGCAAGCCTCTGTGTCAGAAAAAAAATAAAGAAAAAAAGAAAGAAAAGAAAAGCCAATTTGAGAAAAACAAATGTACCCTGAAAAGTAGTATTAATATTTATGAAGACTTTTGTAGTAGTTGTTAAGTTCGAGATACTGTTCTAAGTGTATTCAATGCATTTGCTCATTTAATCACAGTAATCCTATGAGTTAAATACAATGGTTAATTCTATTTTATAGACAAGAAATATGAAAGATGTAGGAGCTAATAACTTTCCAAGGGTTACGCAGACAGTATGGGCAGAGTCAAGGTTTGGACCCAGGACATTTGTCTACAAAACCTGGGGGCCTTTCCTCTCTATATAACTGCCTCTCAGTATAGCTGTTATCTACAGGAGGTGTTTCTATTCTCCCAGGGGAACTGAATTCCAGGGAAGACAGTGCCTAAGCTTAATCGATCTCAGTAATTTTCTGTCTCAACACATAAGAATATGACCTCTTCCATTGGTTATTACCAGGTCGAAACAACACTGATTCTCAACATTCCTATATTGTCCCCCTTCCTCCCCTTTCAAAAATAATTACTATCTCCTGCTTACATGTGAAAGTAGACAGATATTCTGAGAAGAAATATTTTACCAGCAACATTCAGTAAGATGAGAGAAGACACGTGGTTGGGTGATCTGCAGTGGGAATTGTTATTGTAAGGCAAGGAAAAGAGTTTGTTAAATGGTGTGTACAGTGAGGAAGTTCAAGAAGGAAACCTTGGGGTAAAATGTCAGGTTCTGTAGCAGTGAGTGGGCACATCTGTTTAAGAATTGTTGTAGGCATGCTTTTCTAGTGTTCCTCAAATCACAATGTAAGCCCTGTGTTTCTCATCTGAAACAGTCACAGTTAGATCAAGAGGTTAACTAGGTTCTCTGCTTCCATAACATCTATACATTCCTGACATTTCCTGGCTTCCTCCAGACCTGTCCTCCAGCCCTGTTCTCCAGGGATATTCAAAGACAGTGATGATAAGACTTTCTCTTTCTCTCTCCCTCTCTCTCTCTCATACCCTCTCTTTCCCCCTCTCTCTGGCTGTGTGCTCCACTAATGTTGTCTATAGTAGAATAGATGCTGTGTGACAGCCAGGACCATTTCCCCAGGTGATGCATTCTCCCTAGTCCACTCAGAGGCTTTACTAACTATTAAATAATAATAGCACCCAAATCCTAATCTATCATTCATCACAGACAGGTTTGAATCCATTTCTTGGCTGACAGTCAGTTTGTTTCTTAAGCTTGCTAAACCACAAGTGACCAAATCTCATATAAATACAGTAATGAGTCAATAGCCTATGACAAGCGCCTATTACCATGGTAGCAGCAAATCAGGAGCACATTTAATGATGTTTATGCAAAGAGAAAGGCAGTGGTTCTATGAGGGAAACAAAATGGAGAAGAATGAGATCAATGGGAGAAAGAGATTTGGCAAAAATTGGGGGGGAAGACACCAGAACATTAAAGATATTACCAGGAAAACCTACATCTCCTCATCATGGTCAGTTTTTATATTCCCCAAGCAATCAACAGAAGCAAAATGAGGAGAGAGGAGAAGACATGCCGAATTTTAAAATAAGTGAAAGAGCTCTCTGTCAGAAATGCCACAGGGGAAATGAGAACTTCAAAAGTAAGAGCAGTGAGTAGCCATCTGGAAATACTGATTTCCCATTTTGGCATAAGGCATAGCACACAGTAGGTGTCTTGCTTCGTCTGAGTTGACTATGACTGGCTCCACCTTGAGCATGCCATATTGCTTTGACCATTTTCCCAAGCATCTCTTACACGAGCTAACCCTGCGTGACCAGTTTCCACTGTGTCTCCAGAAATACAGACTTTTGTTTCTAGTGCAGCTTGTGCAGTTCTGCCTTATTTCATTGCAGCCAACCGTGCCTGAAAGACAGGAGCAAACAAGATGGACAAGCATGGCAGTGAAAAAACCATTTTACTGCAATTAGAAGTTCACGGAGAATAAATTATCCTCCATTTCAAGCTGTCCAGCAGTAATTCTCATTAATAATAACACTTCAACAACAGTCTGCTTCCCACATCAACAGTGAGTGCTAGAAACTTTTTCATTGCTCTTGAAGCAGGAGTCACATCCCAGACGGCTAGCCCAGATTGCCATATGCAACGCACAAGAGAACGTTTAAATTACAAAGAAGCTTGAATGTAGAACTGGCTGTGAAGTTCACTGGCTAGATAAGCAGGTGGAACAACTCAAAGGGACCCTCTCGTTCAAGCTTTCTCTTCTAATTCATGCTAAATAGTAAATGGATTTTCACATTAGTGAGTAAGTCTACCTAACAGTACAGTTTCCTGAGGTCTGTCCTCTTGCCTCATCAGATATGTCTCTTTCACTACCTTTCCAATACATGGCCACAAGGCTACAGAGAATGTAGGGTCCATGAAGGCAGAGATTTTTGTGAAGACACACACACACACACACACACACACACGTGTATATACATATATCCATATATATACACAAATACAGATACACACACATGTATAAATATGAAGTCCCAGTCAGCAGTTGATGCTGGCTATCATCTAGAAGACTCTCCACATGGGAGTTGCATCCCAGATGGTCTCTTCATGTTGTCTCCCTAGATGGGCTACTTTGAGCTTCTTCCAAGCTTGGTGGTTGGTATGCAAGGGCAAGCATCCCAATAAAGAAAGCAAGCCAGGCTGAAATCCCATTGCCTCTTATGTCCTAGCCTCAGGGGCTAAACAGTATCACTACCACTGCATTCTATTTGCTGAGGCAATCTGAAAGCTCTATCTAGATTTAAAAGGAGAGAAAATAGGTTCCGTCTCTTCAGAGAAGCAGCAAGATTCTAGAAATTCATCTGGGACCAGAAACATTATTTAAGTTGAAAGATGAATAGATATCTGCTAGCCAAACTGAGGGCAGTGGCAAGAGCACTCCGGGTCACCTTAGGAAGTAACAAAGCAAAATACCAAAGTGTGCAGTGACACAGCTTCTTCTGGGAACTTCGAGTCATTTGCTGTCACTGGACCACAAGACTCAAGGGCAGAGTAATATGACAGAATTTGTTTCAAAAAGATCACCCAGCCAAAAATGCAAAGGATAAAGTGGGAGGGACTAGACAAGAGTTAGAGAGCCCGATTAGGTGACTATTGCAGTATCAGTAAGAGACAATGAGGTCCGGGTTAGGATGGTATTACTCTGGATGGAGAAGAGGGGAAGAGCATAAGAGGTTTAAAGATAGAATAACAGGAAGGAACCATTTATTGAATTTCCTTTCTGCATGTGATTATCTCTTGTATAATTTTCACAATACATTTATATCTTGGCATTATCATAGGCATTTTATGTATAAAGAAATTGAGGCACAGAGAAGTCAAGCTGCTTTCCCATTTTCCTACAAGTAGAGCCACGGTTTGTAGACTCCAGTACTGAAGCCCACACATTTAATTACTAAGCTGTACCGATTGGATGTGATGGTGACAAAGGAAAAAGGAGTCCAGGATCACTACTAGGTCTCTAGATTAAACAACTTAAGTGACTGGTAATGTGACAGAGATAAAGAAATGTAGGAGGATGGGGAAGTGGAATGGATAAGAACATGTTTGTACATAATGAATTTGAGATGTCTGTAGGAAATTGAGTGGAGATTTCGGGTATCTTGTTGGTAATCTAAACAAAGCATAATGGGTTTTGTTCATATGGAAATGGGTTGGAGTCATCAAGCATTTATACTCAAGAAGGATCTTAGAAAACATCTAGCCAGAGTTTTATTTTATAAATGTTGAATTCTAGGCCCAGAGAGGTAATGTGACTTATCCACAGGTAAACAGTTTTACCTACTTAGCTGGTAAAGCTTCCAGGACCACTGATTCTCAGTCCAACTCAGTAAAGTATGTATTTCCCAAAGAATTATAAGGAAAAAAGAAAAGTTTTCATAATCCAATGCTGGATTTAACAAACTTAATTTAGTTTAATTTCTACAGGACTTCTCAGAAACTTTATTATATGCATTGGGAATTTGCTAAGAAAGGGGTTTGCTATTCACAGTCTTCCAAATTCATAGGGCGACATAATCCTTTACTCAGGGAGCATTTCTCAGCACTGGCCTTCTCTAGACACTTTGGAAAAGCTGGTAGGGTGGAAAGTGCATCGGCTTGGGAATCAGATAGCTTCAGATTTCAACTAAGTCTTTACCAGGTAATAGCTGCGAAGACTTTGGCATGTTATTTAATCTCTGAACTGTAGTCTCCCTATCTGCAAAAGACAAGAAAGAATCTAGCCATCACAGCACTTTGTACATTAACATACATAACACATGTGGCAAAGACCCTCAGACATAGAGACTGGCAATACAAATTAGTCACTTACTATTTTTTCCTTCTCCTAAATCAGTAAATATTTATTTGATATTTTCTATGCTTCCAACCCATTCATGGATATATGTTAACTTTTAACATATTTCTTACTACTATTTAAGAAAAACTAAAAGCATCTGTCTTTTCTATTTATTTTACTCCAAACAAAATTTTTATCCATCAATACCAATCACTTTGACACCAGACCCTAAGTGCATCCAATTGTGGGGCTAAAAGAGATGAAGCAGCAGAAATCTTATTTATCAGAACAAAATGTCCTGGTCAATTCATCACAACAAGTCTTCAGTTCATGGAATTTGGAATTGCTCCAAATACACAAATAACAGGTCTCTTCTTCACTGGCA